CCCGCGCGTGCCTGGGTTCGGGCCGCCAGGCCTCGGGGAAAGGGACCCGTGTCCCACTGCACTAGGCGAGGGAGCTGACCCAGGCCTTGGGGGGCGGTGACCGCGCCCCAGCCTGGAGCCTTGGGCTGGATCTCGAGGTCTAAGAGGGGGGGCCCAGGAAGGTGACGCGCGCGCGCCCCAGTGTAGAGGCGAGACTTGACCCAACCTCAGGGTGGTGATCTGTGCTCCGGGGTCGCGGCGAGGGTAGTTGGGCCTCAGAAGGGACAGCCTTGCCCAGTGCGCGTGGAGGCCTGGCCCAGACTGGTAAGGGCTCCCCACCTACTACCAACCTGTGGTCTTGGTTTTGGGCCGCACCCCTACTTCTCTTTGCACTGGCAGGCGGTCCGGAGCCCACAGATGAGGAAGAACGAGAACTTCCCCAAACACCTCTCATGACCCCTGAAGGCAAAATGCCCACCCTTTCTTAAAGCCCCTGATGTCTCGAAGAACATGGTCCTGTCAGTCTGTGTGTCAGTCCCAGAGTGTTCTGGACTAGCCTTTGAGTGACAGGAGTTACCGGTCAGTCCGTACCAGCACAGGCTTCAGTGCCCTTCATTCTCTTCTAATTGGGTTATGAGTGATTGTGAGGATCAAATGAAAGAGAAAGTGGCTTGGAAACTGTAATTTGCTGTGGATATGAATGGCCTCTGGTTATCGCCCTCTCTCTGCCGAAACCAGAGGACCTCTTCCAGGCAGTAGTACCAAGTGCACTGTGTACTGAAGTCTGGTGCTCCCACCTCAAACCTCAACAGGTTTCTAATGCCTTGGCTAAGTAGAGCAGGGTTTAGGGGCTGTGGTGGAATTAACTTTAATATTCAAACCTTATCTACATAGTGGACTTGGTTGTAGAGTCTTTCATTTTCTAGTGCATAGAAAATTTGGTTTACCATTTAAGTTTGGAAACTTTGCAAGTTTGTTTACTTAAAACTTGTTTATGTAGGAGTGCTTAAGCCCTACCTTAATTTGCTATTTAAAGTATTGTTTAAAGGCCCTCATATTCAAATTTCATATGCCTTTTCAAAATAATTTTGATTTGTCGCATTAATAGTATTTGAGAAACCTCAGTGTATTGTTCTAGGTTACTTCAGCTATGTCCCCTGGCTAAAGGATATCAGGTCTTTAGAAATGTGACAGACTTCTGTTCAAATTCCATCTAGTAATTTAATAGTTGTATGACCCTGGGCAAATTGCCTAATTTCTTTGAACTTTAATTTTCTCACCCATAAATTGAGGGTAATTATAATTATGTTCTGCAATATTGTTGTGAGAATGAAATGAGACAATGTATGTGAGAAGTCTTATTGTAGAGACTAGAGCATTATAGATGTTCAACAATATTTTTTTCCTCCTAGTGAGTAAATCATAATTGAAACAACTGTTGCATTTATGAACAGATATCAAAAGAGACTATGTAACTGTGTGCATAAACTGAATTTCATGGAAAGAATCAACCTAGCTGTGTTAGGGACTGCGCAGGGACTTTTTGTTTGTTTTGATTGATTTTAACTTTTACAGGTTTGAGGACATGTCAGTTCACCCAGTATTGTTCAGATTGTGGAAAATTAAGTTGCACTAACCACATTTAAAAGACACTGATGAATAAGCTAAAATACACGTAGATCTTTTCTGTTGAGTGATTTATTTTACCATCTGCTGTCTGCAAACTCCTTTTTTGGTGTCACAGTACCTTGGAATCCCAATAAATAACATTGCTAAGCATAGAATCAGAGCAAAGAGAGTTGATAGTCTTGTGGGATATTTCATCCAGGCTGTTTTAGAACCTAGAGGTTCGTTCCTATTTCTCTGTTAGAACACAGCTAAATCTAGTGCTTTGTGTCCTTCTCATTTGAAAAATCACTGAAACCTTCTTGTTCTGCATACCCCCTCCCCCCCACCTGATTCAGTTTCTGACAATACTTAGAAATATTATTAATCAGATTACCACTTATTTTGGTTATATTGATTGTAACCTTTGTGTTTGCTGTACCTTATAGTTGGAAAATGCTTTCATAACTATTAGCTCATTTGATCTTCCAGGAGATAAGCAAGGCAGGTATCTATACCCACTTTATAGATGAGAAAAATGAGGTTCAAAGAGGGTAAGTGACTCAAGGTTAAGTGGTGAAATGAAGACCAGAGTCTATGTCATTTGATTCCTAATTCAATGCCCTCCTCTCCATTTAAGGCTTACTTCACCCATTCTATGTTAGGTCATATTTGTTTCCCTTTCAAAAAATGTAATAATTTTCTGACTTTGCCACCAACTTTTGTGGATGCCCCTAATATAAAACCCAGGAACCTTTGAGCACTGACTGTAACATTTTTAAGAGCAATCAAATAGCTAACATTTATGGAGCACTTAATATTACAAGGCAATATGTTAAACCTTTTATTTTATTTTGAGTCAGAGTCTCACTCTATCACTTGGACTGGAATGCAGTGGCACACTCACAGCTACCACAGCCTTGACCTCTTGGGTTCAGGCAATCATTTTGCCTCAGCTTTCCAAGCAGCTGGAACTAGAGGTGCGTGCCACCACGTCCAGCTAATTTTTTTATTTTTATTTTTGTAAAGACAGGGCCTCACCAAGTTTCCCAGGCTGGTCTCGAACCCTTGGGCTCAGGCAATACTCTTACCTGTGCCTTCCAAAGTGCTGGGATTACAGGTGTGAGCCACTGCACCTGGCCTATGTGAAACCTTTTATGTACATCGTCTCATGGAATCGTCACAATAACACTTGAGATAGATGCTATTATTATCACACATACTGCTATTTTATTGATGAGGAAACTGAGACACAAGAGATGCCAATAAACTGGCCCAATGTCATGCAGTTAGGAAGTGGTGAGACCAGGATTGAAACACAGGTTATTTGGTCCTAGAGTCTTAGCCGCTGTGCTTTATTGCTTCATTAAGTAGACAGTTTGCTGAACTCAAAGAAACCCACTTTTTCCCAGTCTCTAGAACTGTGAGAAATAAATGTCTGTTGTTTCACCCACCTCCCCACCCCTGAGAAAAGGGAAAGAAAGAAAAGAAACAGAAAAAGAAAAAAAAAAAACCCCAGCTTTTTAGAATGAAAACATTTAGATTATAGTTTTCTAAATAAATCTCCTAAGCTTATTAAAAGAAATAATCACTCATCTTCTAACTTTTCTCTCTTGGAGACACATACAATATTTACTTTTTGCCACTTCTTTTTTCTTTTTGAGTCAGAGTCTCACTCTGTTGCCCAAGCTGGAGTGTAGTGGCACACTCATGGCCACCGCAGCCTTGAGCTCAGGTGATTCTTCTGCCTCAGCCTTCCAAGTAGCTAGAGTCACAGGTGCACACCACCATGTCCAGATAATTTTTTCTTTCTTTCTTTTTTTTTTTTGAGTTGGAGTCTCACTCTGTCACCCAGATTGGAGTGCAGTGGCCGCTTCCAGCCACCGCAGCCTCGACCTGCTGGGCTCCGGTGATCCTTCCGCCTCAGCCTTCCATGTAGCTGGAATTACAGGCATGCGCTACCATGCCTGGCTGATTTTTTGCTTTATTGTAGAGATGAGCTCTCACTGCCCAGGCAGGTGTCGAACCTGCGGGCTCAGGCAATCCACTCTCTTCAGCCTCCCAAAGGCGCGGGATTACAGGCTGAGTCACCGAGCCCGGCCAGATAATTAAAAAAAAAATTTTTTTTGTAGAGACAAGGTCTCACCAAGTTGCCTAAGCTAATCTCAAACCCCTGGGCTCAGGCAATCCTCTCGCTTCAGCCTCCCAAAGTGTTGGTATTAAAGGCATGAGCCACTACGCCCAGCCTTTTTGCCACTTCTTAATCTTGTTTCCATTTCTCTGCCTCCGTCCCTTTGATGTCAAATACTTCAGAGAAGTATAAACACCACAAGATTGTTAAGTATATTGGGAAGAAAAAGCACTCGAATGGAAGTTAGGACACTTAGATTCTGGTCACTATTTAAACTCAAAGTCATATGTCCTTAGGCAAGTTATTCGATCCCAGTTTCTGTTCCCAGATTTTTATTATAAAGCTGTATTTCTTCCAGCTTTGTGATACAGTGATAGCTTAAGTGTATCATGGAAAATCTGGGGCCGACTTATATAGTTTAATTGGGTTAATTCAATATGGTTGTCCCTCTCACATTATTTACTATTTATTTCTTACCTTGTTTGTAATGGTCTTATCATATCCAGAGTAGTTTCCCTTGTACACTAGGAAGTATAACTCAACTCCAGGCAATAATAATACTTTTAGTATAAATTATTTGCTTTTGTTTCATTGAAAAATAATTGTCAATTCTTATCTATTAGGGACAACTAGATTTCTGTTTAGATTCTTTCAAGGATTATCGATACTGTTCGGTTCAACATTTATTGAATTCTTACAACATGCTGGCTGTTGAATTTGTTACTGAGGAGATTAACGAAGTTTATTTCTTTGAAGGGTTTATAGTCTAGTAGAGGAGACAGAGTAATTTAACATGGGGTTTCTTACACTTGCTCTAAGTGTTTCCCTATACAGAGGGTCTTTTGAATGCAGAGGATGGATCTTCCAGTCTGGGAGAGTCAGGAAAATCTTTCCAAGCAGGTCATACCTGAACTGAATTTTGAAGGTTATGGGGGGGGGGATGAACAATCAATTTAATATGTAAAAATATTTTCAATACTTTCAGTATTAGTGTATGCTGATCTGTCAGTACAAATTTCATTAAAGTATTTGCTCTGATGTTCCAAGTGATATTGGACGGGAATAGTATCTTGTTTCAAAGTTTTCTCTCCTTAGTGAAGTGTCTTTGTTCTCAGTGAAATGCCACTGCAGTAAGAGAACTTGTAACTTTCCATTGTAACCACAGCCCACTTTGCTCAACACCTGTTCATAGCAGAAAATGTGTTTATTTTTTAGACCAGTGTCCACTTGATATTATCATCAAAAGGGAGTAAGATTATCTCTAGACAGGTATCTCCCAGACTGTGTTCCACAGCATCCTTTTCTTCTGAATATTATATGTTTAACTTTCTAAGGAGAAAGTGATAATTATATGGAAAACAAAAGTTGGGTAAATGATGAGTTAAACAGGTGTATTTATTACATGACTTTTTAGAGAATTTAATATGATAATGTACACTGAAATTTTAAAGAGAAAAGAGACTATACAAGGTTTCCTTAACTTATGGAAATTTTGTGAGAGAGAGAGAGAGTGTGTGTGTGTGTGTGAGAGAGAAAGAGAGAGAGAGAGAGAGAACACTTGTAAACCACCAATGAAATAGTCTGGAAGGATAACTCTGTCTAGACCAAGATTTCTCAACCTCAGCACTATTGATGTTTTAGATTTGGTGATTCCTTGTTGGTGGAAGAGGCTATCCTATGTATTGTAGAATGCTTATCTGTATCCTGTCTCCTTCCCATTAGATGCCAGTAGCACTCCTCAAGTTGTGACAACCAAAAATGTCTCCAGACATTTGCCAAATGTTCCTTAGGGAACAAACTCTACTGACAACTACTGAGAACAAACTCAACTGAGAACTAGTCTGTATGTTCCTTGAGAGTAGGGGCTTTGTCTTCTTTATGAGTCCATAATACAGTTCAGGCATGTAGTAACTGAATAAACTAAATCTTGTGATAAGGAAATCCCAGACTGTCCCAAGTCTAAAAGTATCAGATTGTATACAAGAAGCTCCGCTTTAGCTCTATTGATACTGTTTTGCTACCAAAATTAATAAATAGAGCTGCTCTTTGCTCTTATCCTGCCTGTACAGCCTATGATAATGGAGGCTAATTTATGGGAGATACATAGACCATTTCCAACTCTGGGCAGGATAGTCCCCAAAGTTTGGAGATTGTTTTTTAATACATAGAATTTTGTAAGCCTAGCTATAGAACTACTAACACTCATGAAAGGGTTTATACCATAGCCTTTGTATAAAAGGAATTAATCTAATTATCTAATTTTGATGTCTCCATATTCAAAATAATGGCAAAATACAAAATATTTAGAAATCTAGAGAACCTTAAGTCAAAAGACATCCTAAACTCTTTATATTAGAGTGCATTCCGTGAATAATAAGATTTCAATAATTGCACCTGTCATCATCATCATCATCATCAATATGAACAAATATAACAAAAAATAGCACAGCAAATATCTTTCAATCTCTTTAGGACCTCCAACCAGCCTGTTTCAGCCACCTCGTCGTCCTGGCCTTGGAACCGTTGGAAAACCAATTCGACTGCTAGCCAATCATTTTCAGGTTCAGATTCCTAAAATAGATGTATATCATTATGATGTGGATATTAAACCTGAAAAACGGCCTCGTAGAGTCAACAGGTAAAGATTGTATATTTAAGTGCATATAATGTATTTGTTATGTATCATATTGTTCTCTAAATGCATTCAATATGTAGGCTTTATTTTTCTCTAAGATGGCAGGTTTCTTAATAGCAGGTTTGCTGTCTCATACTTAGTTATCCGCCACAGGTTCTAGCAAAGTGCTGGATATATCATTGGTCAATGTAAATATTTAATGAAAAAGAAAGGTTGCCTGGGCTCAGTGGCTCACACCTGTTATTCCAGCACTTTGGGAGACCAAAGTAGGAAGATCTTTTGAGCTGGACACCAGCCTGGGCAACACAGTGAGACCCTGTCTCTAAAAAAAAAAAAAGTTTTGAATTAGCCAGTCATGTGTGTTGGTGCATGCACCTGTAGTACTAGCTACTCAGGACGCTGAGGAGAGAGGATCATTTGAGCCCAGAAATTGGAAACTACAGTGAGCTATGATTGTACCACTATACTCCATCTTGGGCAACAGAGCAAGACCCTCTTGCGTGCACGTGCATGAGAAAGAGAGAGAGAGAGTTTTTATAAAATTTGAACTTCCATAAGTGTTGGTTTTGAACATGAGAAATATATGTGTAAAGACAGAAAACTACTTACAGTTGTTTTTTTGTGTGTGGAAAAAAGAAAAAGGTAGAAGAATCATCTTGGAATATCCAAAAAAGTAATTACAGAGAGAAGCTCTAGTTATTTCTGGTATTATCTAAGAGGGGTCTTGAAGAGATGTTAAAAGTATTGTGGTCTGTGTAGCAGGAAAGTATTCTTATAGTGCATTGAGTATACATTCACTTTCCTTTTCTCTGTTTCTGTGCAGTGAGCTTCAGGCAGTCTTTGATATTAAGATTCTTGCTTTCCTAAGAATGCTCTTGCTGTCAAGTGAAATATTTTGTGCCACTAGATTTTTTTCTCAATAATTTGGCTTTCTGCTATAGTTAAGTCTTATGTCAGTCTATAATTGGCTATTGTATAATTGAGATGAGTAGAAGTGGTGATAATGGCTAACATTGATCCACTCCACCAATATTTCACTGAGTGTTTTATTATGTTCCAGGTATTGTCCTGTGTTCTGGGAGTTCAACATGACCAAAACAGGCAAACGTTTCTGCCTTTGTGGAGCTTATATTTAATGGGGAAGACCAAAATAAATAAATAAGCAAACAAAACACATTATGTATTAGTTGATAAGTGTGATGAAGAAAAATAAAGTCGAGATGGAAGATAGGAATGGAGATGGTGTGAACCACTGAAATGTGTGTGTGTGTTCGAGTTTATCTTGGTAAAGTCTCACTGAAAAGTGCCATTTGACCCAGAGAAGGTGAGGGATATCTGAGTGAAGAATATCCCAGGCAAAGTCAGCAGCTTTGTGTATTCAAGGCACAGCAGATAGTTCTGTATTGCTGGAGCAAGTGAGTTAGGGGGAGAGTGATAGGACATAAGGTTGGAGAAACTCCAGAAGGTCCCTGTCTTGTAGAGTGTCATAAGCAGTCATAGTACCTTAGCGTTAATGCTGGTTAAGTGGGTTTTGAATGGACATGTGACATGACTAACTTAGATTTTTAACTTAGACTAACTTGGATTGCTTTAGCTGCTATTCTGAAATTGGACCCTAGCAGGTAAGGGCGAAAAGCATGAAAATCAATTAGGAGACACTTGTAATGATTCAGGTGAAAAGTGATGGTGATTTAGACTTAAGTAGTAAGTGGTAGTGATGGGAAGTAGTCAGAATCTCCAAATATTTTGATGGTGTCAATAAGATTTGCTGATGCATTGAACTTGTGTGAAAAAAGTGAGTCATGGCCAGGCTTGGTGGCTCCGCCTATAATCCCAGCACTTTGAGAGGCCGAGGTGTGTGGATTGCCTGAGCCCGTGGGTTCGAGACCCGCCTGGGCAACTTGGCGAGACCTCATCTCTACAACAAATAAAAAATTAGCCAGGTGTGGTAGTGCATGCCTGTAGTCCCAGCTACTTGGAAGGCTGAGGCCGAAG